GCCATCATCATCATAACAATAATAACTAAAAGAAAGCCCCCACAAAAGCCTGCTCTCTCCAGCCCGAGGGCCAGGAAAGGGGTAGACAAGGCAGAGCTTGGGAAATAGCCACTCAATTCCAGACATTCTACCACAGACAAACTGTGGCCACCCCCACACCGGCCAAGGCCAAAGGGTGAGCCTAGACTTCCACCCTCCCCGGGCTTGTCACGAGGCGCCCCAGCATCCCTGCCTGGGGGGGGTTCTCTCTGGGAGGGCCAAGTAGGGGAGCCTGGAACTCCATCCTAGACTGGCCGTCCTGAGCCACCCTTCCCATCCCCACTGCGATGGCATCGGGAGGCCCAGGAGGGTCGGGAGGGTCACTCATTTCTGCAGTCGGGCGGTCATCCTCACCCAGGCGGCCATGGACCTCTGGGGAGCTGGAACCCCCACACTCACCCCAAGGTAAGAAGCACCCCTGCACCCCCATCGGATGTCAATGGTAGCTGAGGGGAAACTTGAACTTCTACCGCCATCCGCCATCCGGCAGTGAGGAGGCAGCGCCTCCCCTTTCCTTGACAGAGTGGTGCCAGAAAAAGGCAGCGAAAAGAGAAGGTTTAATGAAGACCTAGAGTCTCATAAAGTAATTAAAAAAATGAAAATATTAACACAAAAATGACAGTATTTCCGTTAAAACAAATCATCTTACCAAGAACTGCAAAGCCCTCGAATGAATGAAAAAGGCCATTGGTAGCTGCTGACTCCCAACAGACGGAGGTGGTAGGGTTTTCTGGGAAATATTTTATTTTATCTTTTAATGTTTATTTATGTTTGACAGATAGACAGACCATGATGGGGGGGGGGGATGGTGCAGAGAGAGAAGGAGACACAGACTGCGAAGCAGCTCCAGGCTCCGAGCTGTCAGCACGGAGCCCGACGCGGGGCTCGAACCCACGGACCGTGAGATCATGACCTGGGCCAAAGTCGGACGCTTAACCGACTGAGCCCCCCAGGCGCCCCTATCGTGGCTGCTTTAAAATATTTTCCAGGTTGGGGCGCCTGGGGGGCTCAGTCGGGTAAGCGTCCGACTTTGGCCCAGGTCATGATCTCACGGTCCGTGGGTTCGAGCCCCGCGTCGGGCTCCGTGCTGACAGCTCGGAGCCTGGAGCTGCTTCGCAGTCTGTGTCTCCTTCTCTCTGCTCCTCCCCCACACACTCAATCTCTCTCAAAAATCAAGATTAAAACATTACAAATTAAAATGCAGCAGCCACAATAAAAAGGCTTTAACAAGACATTATGGATGCACCTGAAACAGATCAAACTGAACTTCAGCAAAGGCACAGAGGATCTGAAGACCCGAAGAGACTGCAGAGCCGGAAAATATAACAGCTGAAATTGAAGCTCGGGGCGTGGGCCCCCCCACACAATGGGGACGGAGAAAAGACCCCGTGAAGTGGAAGATACAACCATAGAAACCACGCATTCCGAACAGAGAGAAAACAGACTTAAGAAAACAGAATTCGCCGGCAGCCCCAGGACTCTAACAACACATCCTATGTTGTGTCCTCGGGGACCCGGAAACAGGAGAAAGGGGGCGAGGCTGGAAAATGTCCTCAAATAATGGCTCCCGAACCCCAATCTGGCAAGAAACGTAGACTCACACGTGCAAGACGCCAGGCCAACCCCGAAGAGGACAAGCCCGAAGAATAACCCAGAGACCAAGTCCCGCAAATCAACCTGAACCTCCCTACGACCCGGAAGTCGCACTCCGGGACATCTTCCCAGGAAAAGGAAGACTTGATGTTCGCACAAAACTCTGTCCGTGACTATGCATGGCAGACTTGTCTGTACCGGCCAGCAGTTAGAATCAGCCCATGGGCCTTCCGTGGGAAAGGCTGTGCTGCGGTATGTCCACGCGGTGGGACATGACCCGCCAGCACACGCTACAACCCGCGGCTGTCCGGGGCAGAGAGCCGAGCAGACGGAGCCAACCCCCAAAGATCGTATTCCATGTGATCCCATGTATATAACGTTCTCTTTTTTTATGTTTTATTTTTGAGAGACAGACAGACAGAATGTGAGCAGGGGAGGGGCAGAGAGAGAGGGAGACACAGAATCGGAAACTGGCTCCAGGCTCCGAGCTGTCAGCACAGAGCCCCACATGGGACTCGAACTCAGGGACCGGGAATTCATGACCTGAGCCCAAGGTGGAAGCTCAAATGACTGGGCCACCCAGGCGCCCCTCTATAATGTTCTTAACACGACAGGTGACAAAAGTGAAGAGCAGAGCGGCTGCGGCCGGGGATAGAAGGAGGCAGGTATGGGGAGACAGGAGCGTTGGGAGGGACCTTGACGGTACCTAGTTGCGACTTTACACTGTAGCTTTGCAAGATGTCACATTCGGGGTCACTGGGTAAAGGGCACGTGGGGCCTCTGTCGACTTCTCACAGCTGCATGAGAATCTATAATGATCTCAAAAAAAGGTTCATTTGTAAAAATCCACCTGAAATTTAAAAAACCTCTTAGTAGGGGCGCCTGGGTGGCTCAGTCAGTTAAGCGTCCGACATCGGCTCAGGTCATGATCTCACGGTTCGAGCCCCGAGTAGGATCCCTGCACTTGAGATTCTCTCTTCTTCTCTCTCGCCGCCCCTCCCCCAGCACTCTCTCTCTCAAACCAACCAACCAAATAAACCTTAAAAAAAAAGAAAGATGGAAAATGCAACCTTTACCTCCTAAAGCTCATTACGTTGCAAGTAATTCCAATACCGGCTGGTGTTTTAAAAAATCAGGTTTCTGGCTCGCTGACCTTCACAATCGGTTCGATACAGCATTTCAGCGATGCCAGTGGTTTCTTCCCTTTTCTTTTTTAATCGTAGCTTCCTTGACATCAGCTTCATCCTAAGGCCTCATCCTTGCGATCATAAAATGGATTCAACAGCTCGTGCGGGGTTACGTATTTCCTGTCCACACCCAGAGGGAGTGTGCCATCTTCAGCCGGCCCACAGAAGCCTGGGGTTCCGTGACGGAAGGACCCCCTCGCATCTTCTTTCTGGCCCCGGACGAGTCTCGCTCTCACCATGGGAGGCTCTGCACAGCTTCCCTCAGGATACTCATGTGGGCCCTGGTGACCGGCTGGGGCCACTTAACGTGGCTGGAATAGAATCATTCCCACCAAGAACCCTAAGATGCAACAGAAGTAAGTCTTCAAAAGAAAAAAAAGAGAAGTTGAGTGGATCTTGAATAGACCTCCTGCACGAAACTCTTTAAAGACGAAGCCACCGACTGGGTGGCTCAGTCGGCTAAGCGTCTGACTTCGGCTCAGGTCATGATCTCACGGTTCGCGGGTTCGAGCCCCGCGTCGGGCTCTGTTCTGACAGCCAGCTCAGCGCCTGGAGCCTGCTTCGGATTCTGTGTCTCCATCTCTCTCTGACCCTCCCCTGCTCATGCTGTCTCTCTCTCTCAGAAATAAATAAAAACATTTTTAAAAAAGTTTAAAAACGAAGCGCAGCTACGGCGATCAGAAAGAACGAAATCCTGCCATTTGCAGCTACAGGGATGGAGCAGGAGGGAGTTATGTTGAGTGAAGTTAGTCCATCAGAGAAAAACAAGTATCACAGGACTTCACTCCTATGAGGACTTTAAGATACAAAAGAGATCAACATAAGGGAAGGGAAGCAAACGTAATATAAAAACAGGGATGGGGGACAAACTATAAGAGACTGTTAAATACGGAGAAAAACCAGAGGGCGGCGGGAGGGGGATGGGCTGAGTGGGTGAGGGGCAGTAAGGCATCTGCTCCCCAAACCACTCTTGCACCATATGCTAACTAACCTGGATGTAGGTTGAAAAAATAAATAAATTACGAACATGTACACATCAAGGAAAGAAAGAAGGAAGGAAGGAAGGAAGGAAGGAAGGAAGGAAGGAAGGAAGGAAGGAAGGAAGGAAGGAAGGAAAAGGAAAAGAAAAGGAAAGCAAAGCACCTAGAGCACCGACTTGGAGCCCCTGGATGAGGTCACGTCTGCCTAATGTAACGCAACAGAGCCTTCCTGGAAAGTGTAGGGCTCGCCGGCTACACGTGGACAGGGGACCCTGGCTGCTCAGGATTGGGGGGCCCTGGGGGCCTCCGTGGGGGGCTACAGCATCACCCGGGGACTTCCTTGTAACAAATGCACTTCAGGTCCCTTTTCCCGTGTGCGTCACCCCACTTGCCATTTGAAATCCCAGAAGGAGGACCGTTGTCCACGATTCGGTCACACCCCTGGGTGAGACACGTGGTGACAGGAAGGGCCTGGCGGAAAGTACTTCCAAAGACATCGGGGTGGCCAGTGTGAGGGGACGGGGTGCCTGTTCTACACTCCCGCCGAGTCTACACTCGTCTGAGGACATGAGATCTCCCAAAAGGAAACTGGCCTCTTATCCAAGACGAACGGATGCTGTAGAAAAACAATTCACCATGGCTACGACATAAGACAGGTTAGGGGCACCTGGGGGGCTCAGTCGGTTAAGCGTCCGACTTTGGCTCAGGTCATGATCTCGGGGTTCACGAGTTCAAGCCCCGTGTAGGGCTCTGTGCTGACAGCTCGGAGCATGGAGCTGCTTCGGGTTCTGGGCCTCCCTCTCTCTGTGCCCCTTCCCACTTGCATTTTGTCTCTCAGAAATTGATAAACATCGAAAAAAGAAAAGAGGGCCAAAGGCCAAACTCCGGGGGTGAAGTTCTCGCAAAGGGCCGAAGAGGAATCTACAAAGACTGAGAAAGGCCAGCCAGACGAGAGTGTCACCGGCCCCAAGGTGGGAGAGCCCGTGGCTATGCGGGCTGCAGAAAACACCTAAGATCATAACGAAGAAGCGTCCCCTGGGTGTGGAGCGGTGGGGGGACTGGCGACCTTGGCCAAACTGAGCCAGCAGGTTGGGGCCGGGGTGGGGGCGCCGGGGACTTTGCTAGAGTGGGGGGAGGGAAAGGCAGAGAGAGGAGAGGGCTAATATCGGCGACCACAAGAAGGCACAGTAGGCAGAAGCGGACGATGGCCTGAAGCTTAAAAACTGGGCAACGGCAGTGGGTGAGGGGTCCAGTCCGCAGGACAGCGGGAGAACGGAGCCACAGGGAGGGCTGGGGGCAGTCGTGGAAGCAGATGATAAGGGCCCGTGTCCAAGAGGGAGGCAGTTCCAGGGCAGCAGGCGTCCCTATCGGACGGGCCTTTCCTCCCCGTTCCCGAGCCCTTCCTGCCCCGGGCAGCCCCTCCCTGGAGCTGAAGAGCGAAGGACGCAGTCGCACCCAGCAAGCAGCCTGTCGGAGGTCTCCGCGCCTGCCCGTAAGCGGGTCTTGGGGACTTGGGGGCTGGCTGAGGACGAGGGCTCTGGGGGGCAGGGGTGGGGGAGGGCAGCACTTATGGGAGCTCAGATTCCGGCTGGGGTCCTGGAGGCCGGGGCGGAAGTGGGGGGTGGGGGCGGGGTGGGTAGAGCGCCCCGGGCCCAGGAGGCCCCCACTGACACCCCCCCAACAGGCCATGTCTCTCCTGCCTCTCCTGCTGCTGCTGCTGCGGCCGCCCCCCGCACACCCCAACGCCATCTGCGAGTTCTCCAACGTGACCAGCCAGCTGGAAGTGAACTGCGACAAGCTGGGGCTCAAGGCGCCGCCTTCGGACCTGCCGGCCGCCACGGCCATCCTGCACCTGAGCGACAACCCCCTGGGCGCCTTCTCCACGGCCTCGCTGGCGTCGCTGGCCCGGCTCGCGCAGCTGCACCTGAGCCGGAGCCAGCTGAGCCAGCTGCAGGCCGACGGGCCGCTGCCCGCGCTCGAGACCCTGGACGTGTCCCACAACGCGCTGCGCAGCCTGCCCCCGCTGGGGGGAGCGCTGCCGGCCCTCGTCACCCTCGACGCGTCCTTCAACGAGCTCACCTCGCTGTCCCCCAGCGCCCTGGACGGCCTCAGCCGCCTCCACGAGCTCTTCCTGCGCGGCAATAAGCTGAAGAGTTTGTTGCCGGCGCTGCTGGGGCCCGTCCGCCAGCTGAGGAAGCTCGACCTGGCAGACAACAGGCTGAAGGAGCTGCCCCCGGGCCTCCTGGACGGGCTGGACCAGCTGGACACCCTCTATCTGCAGGGGAACTGGCT